TCCAGTGCCATGATATCCTTCTTTAAAACAGGCGCCCAAAATTGCACAGCATATTCAAGGTGTGGTTTTACCAGCGATTTATAAAGAGGCAAAATTATATTTTCATCCCGAGAATTTATGCCCCTATTTATACATGACAAAATCTTACTGGCCTTAGCAACTGCAGATTGACATTGCATATTGCTGCCTAATTTGTTGTCTATAACAATTCCCAAACCCTTCTCGTGTGGGGTTATCCCTAATTCACTACCATTTAGTGTGTAAGTTGCTTGTGCATTCTTAACCCCGAAGTGCATAACTTTGCATTTCTCTATGTTTAATTTCATCTGCCATTTTAGTGCCCAGTCCCACAATCTATCCAAATCTCTCTGCAGCAAAGCAATAGCCTGCTCACATTTTATTACTTTACAAAGTTTTGTGTCATCTGCAAACACTGATACATGGCTTTCAATGCCTATTTCAAGATCATTTTTAAATATGTTAAATAGAAGTTGTCCCAATACAGAACCCTGAGGGACACCACTTGCCACTTTTGTCCAGCCTGAAAATGTACTATTAATGACAACTCGTTGTACTCTATCCTTAAGCCAATGTTCTACCCAAGAACAAGAATATTTATCTAGACCAATTTCTTTTAGTTTGAAGACTAACCTATTGTGAGGAACCGTATCAAATGCCTTGGCAAAATCCAAGTAGATCACATCCACTGCAACACCCTGATCTATACTTCTACTTACTTCTTCATAGAATGCAATTAGGTTAGTTTGACATGACCTATGTTTCATAAAACCATATTGATTATTGCTAATAACAAAGTTCTTCCCAAGGAATTCCTGAATATTATCCCTCAATAGTACTTCAAATATTTTCCCAGTTACAGAAGTTAAGCTCACAGGTCTATAATTTCCAGGCAAGGATTTTGAACCCTTTTTAAATATAGGAACAACATCTGCCTTCCTCCAATCCTCCGGTACAACACCTGAAACAAAAGAATCTTGAAAAATTAAATACAGAGGTTCACTTATTTCCCCACTTAGCTACATAAGTACTCGTGGGTGAATACCGTCAGGCCCCAGAGCTTTATTTACATAAATTTTCTTTAATAGCTGTAACCTTGTCTCGAGTTATCCAATCAGAAGTTATTTGCAAGTTTTTTGCAGCAATCATTTGCATATCTCTTGCCATAGGATCCTCATTAATATATACTGAAGAAAAATATATACATACATACATACATACAGTTGTGCTCAAAAGTTTGCATACCCTGTCAGAAATTGTGAAATTTTCAAAATATGACTGATCATGCAAACAAAATGTATTTTATTGAAGGATAGTGATCATATAAAACCATTTATTATCACATAGTTGTTTGGCTCCTTCTTAACCCCTTAAGGACCAAACTTCTGGAATAAAAGGGAATCATGACATGTCACACATGTCATGCGTCCTTAAGGGGTTAAATCATAATGAAAACAGAAATTGCCCAAATGGCTCTGATCAAAAGTTTACATACACTTGAATGTTTGGCCTTGTTACAGACACACAAGGTGACACACACAGGTTAAAATGGTACAGGTTAAAATGAAAGGTTAATTTCCCAAACCAGTGGCTTTTTAAATTGCAATTAGTGTATATGTATAAATAGGCAATGAGTTTGTTAACTCTCACATGGATGCACTGAGCAGGTTAGAAACTGAGCCATGGGGAGCAGAAAAGAACTGTCAAAAGACAGGTAGGGAGGCTGGGGGCACATTTAATATTAATAATTTGTGTGTGTAAGTGTATGTGTGTATGTGTGTGTATGAATGTGTATGTGTCTGAAAGTTTAACAAGGTAATGGAACTTTATAAAGATGGAAAAAGGTATAAGAAGATATCCAAGGCCTTGAAAATGCCAGTCTGTACTGTTCAATCACTTACGAAGAAGTGGAAAATTTGGGGATCTCTTGATACCAAGTCAAGGTCAGGTAGACCAAGAAAGATTTCAGCCACAACTGCCAGAAGAATTGCTCGGGATACAAAGAAAACCCACTAGTAACCTCAGGAGAAATACAGGCTGATCTGGAAAAAGACAGTGTGGTGGTTTCAAAGAGCACAATATGACGATACTTGAACAAAAATGAGCTGCATGGCCGAGTTGTCAGAAAGAAGCCTTTATGCAACAATGCTACAAAAAAGCACGGTTACAATATGCCCAACAACACCTTGACATACTTCACAGCTTCTGGCACACTGTAATTTGGAGTGACGAGACCGAAATAGAGCTTTATGGTCACAACAATAATAGCTATGTTTGGAGAAGGGTCAACAAGGCCTATAGTGAAAAGAATACCATCCCCACTGTGAAGCATGATGGTGGCTCACTGATGTTTATTTTTGGGGATGGGGGGGAAGGTGAGCTCTAAAGGCAAGGGGAATCTTTTGAAAATTGATAGCAAGATGAAAGCAGTGTCAGGATCCTATCCTGACAAACAAGACTTTTTTGTTCTGTTTATTCTGTTCCTTTAAAAAACGCTGTTCCTTTTCCTGCACTGTTTTTATTTGCCACTAGTGGTCTCCCTAACCACTTGCACAGAGATTTCCATCTTATCCTCACCTGCCTGGACTAATTTAAATCCTATAAAAGGTTACACCCATGGCTTTGACATTGACATTGATGATTGCCTGAAAGACTTCATATCCTGGCTCCTGTGTTATATCCTGTGAACTTGCCCAGTGGCGTACCTACCACAGTCGCAGGGGTTGCAGCTGCGACCGGCCCCTCACTGCAGGGGGCCCAGCCACAGCCACGAACCCTGCGACCGTGGGCGGCCAAGATGCCGCCCCCTCTGTGTTCCTCCTGTCATAGGAGGGCAGAGTTCCTGTCAGATGTGGCGAGGGAGCTGTGTTTTCTCTGCTCTGCTCCCTCGCCTGCCGTTTGCTGATGCAGGGAGCTGGAATTTGACTTAATATTCCAGCTCCTGGCATCAGTAGACAGCCTGCGAGGGAGCAGAGCAGAAATAACACAGCTCCCTCGCCACGTCTGACAGGAACTCTGCCGCCCGCCGCACTGAAGCCCCACTGGACCCCAGGGACAGGTCCAAGCCAGCTCTCCAGGTAGGGAGGCTGGGTGGACATTTAATATTAATAATTTGTGTGTGTCTGTAAGTGTATGTGTGTATGTGTGTGTCTGAATGTGTATGTGTCTGTTAGTGTCTGTAAGTGTATGTGTCTGTAAGTGTGTGTGTATGTGTTTGTCTGCGAGTGTGTGTATCAGTAAGTGTGTGTCTGTAAGTGTATGTGTGTCTCAGTGTGTGTATGTGTGTATCTGTGAGTGTCTGTGTCTGAGTGTGTGTGTGTCTGTCTAAGTGTGTTTGTGAGTGCGTGTCTGTGAGTGTATGTATGTGTCTGAGTGTGTGTGTGTGTCTGTCGTGTGTATATGTCTGAGTGTGTATATGAATGTATGTGTGTGTGTGTCTCTACATGTGTCTGCATGTGTATCTGTTTGTCTGCATGTGTCGGGGGCGGGGATATGTGGGGTAGGAGGTAGATGTATGGGGGGGAGGGGGCAGGGCAATTTTTTGCACCAGGGCCCCGTGGTTTCTAGTTACGCCTCTGGACTTACCTTATTGGCTTCAAAACCTGCTTTATTCACCAACCTGCTCCAGACTTGCCTGAGCAACTCTACATTCCTGCTTTATCTACAAACCTACCCCATGCAAGCCTGAACAGCTCTAAATTCCTGCTTGACATCCAACTTACTTAATTCTATACTGGACTTTTCTTTATTATTACTTTCTGGCTACCTGCGTTACTCCTATATTGGATTTACAAACATTCCAAATTATATTGGCATCTATCATAAAATACCTTCCACTACAGTACAACCTCTAATCCAAAGAGACTGAACAACTACAAACCAATATAAGTAATCTTTATATTTCTGTCTAGTTCTGTTTAGTTGTCATTTGTTTTCCTGTAACTTATTATCTCATTAATAGGTTTTCATTCTCTTGCTTTATTTTTCTCTCTTATAGGTTTCCCTGTTTCTTTATATCATGTTCTGGGGCCTAAATCCTGTTTTCTGTTTTCCCTCAAGATTATAATTTCTCTTATAGGTTTATCTGCAATCTCCTACCTATTACTTCATTTATAGGTTTACCTAACTTCTACTTTGGGCTTATAGTCTAAACCCTTTACTTCATAGCCTAGTTATTCTCACCTGTAACCTGTTATTCGGTTCTGTTTTCTCTCTCTCTCCCATTCCTAAAATTTTTATTATAGGATATCCTGTTCTTACTATAATGTCTAAGATAAAAAAAATAAAGACCCTGAAGTTAACCCCTGACCTGCACAAGATCATGACATGCAACATGTTATCAGATAATACTGTCAGACAATTTACATTCTTCTGCAAAGGTTGCACATGGAAAGCTCTTGGACTTTCCAGCATGACAATGACCCTAAGCACAAGTTGACCCTTCAGTGGTTACAGCAGATAAAGGTGAAGGTTCTGGAGTGGCAATCACAGTCTCCTGATCCTAATATCATGGAGTGATTTTAAACGTGCAGTTCATGCAAGACGACCAAAGACTTTGCATGACCTAGAGGCATTTTGCCAAAACAAATGGGCAGCTACAGCACTTGCAAGAATTAGGGGCCTCATAGACCACTATTACAAAAGACTGCACACAGCCATTGATGCTAAAGTGGGCAAAATACACAGTATTAAGAACTAAGGGTATGCAGACTTTTGAACAGAGGTCATTTCATTTTTTTCTTTGTTGCCATGTTTTGTTTTATGATTGTGCAATTCTTTTATAACCTACAGTTGAATATGAATCCTATAAGAAATAAAAGAAATGTGTTTTGCCTGCTCACTCATGTTTTCTTAAAAAATAGTACATATATTACCATTTCTCCAAGGGTATGCAAACTTTTGAGCACAACTGTGTATATACATATATATATATATATATATATATATATATATATATATATATATATATATAATACACAAGATCCAGAGCACTCACCTATCCACTAAACAGCAACTTCAATGTTGAAATATTTTATTAGTTTTTAAAAAAAAACACCTAATCTAGGCAAAAATAATGGGGGTTTAGTTACATTATATGATCATACATCGCATAAGCCTGCATAACCTAGATTAGGTGTTTTAAAAAAAATAAAAAAAATAAAAATCTTTCAACATTGAAGTTGCTGTTTAGTGGATAGGTGAGTGCGCTGGATCTTGTGTATTGTATAATTTGGCCCCCAGCAGCATTCCATTTATGCATGTTCATGTGAGTACAGCCACACGCCCTTGTTTCATATATATATATATATGGGAGTCTAGCCAACTCCTTGGTGTTGCACCCCTCCCTGTCACAGGTGCCTCATCCCAGGGCCCTATTTAGCCTTTAACTGCAGAGGGCCCCAGATGGAATTTGTTACCCCAAGTAAGTGGGTTAATCTCATAAGAGATTAGGCTGTTAGAGTAGGGCCTGCCAAAGATGGGGTACATTGACGTTGTGGCAGGCTTACGCAATGTATGATCATATAATGTAACTAAACTCCCATTATTTTTGTCTAGATTAGGTGTTTTTAAAAAAAAAAAAACAAAATCTTTCAACATTGAAGTTGTTTTTTAATGGATAGGTGAGTGCGCTGGATCTTGTGTATTGTATAATCTGGCCCCCAGCAGCACCCCATTTATGCATGTTCAGGTAAGTGCAGCCACACCCCCTTGTTTCATATATATATATATATATATATATATATATATAAAAATACAAATGGATGGTTGCACTGGTTTTTTGAATAAAAGTCCAAAGTTTATTATCAAGTAGTGAAAGCTGTGATCAACGTTTCAGTCCTTCCATTAGGACTTTCCTCAGGATCATATAAACAGACATGGTACATACAACATATTTATATACAACATACTTAATTAAATTAAACTATTATTAGGTGAATCAGCTTACCCCCAACGAATCCTACTGCCTGGCCGGCGTCCCTGTGCCTCGAGTGCGCATGCGTGACTTAGCTCCGCCTCGCATAGTGTCATCACCCTGCGTCGACGTGCCCAACCGTAACCATATTATCTCCATTACGGCCGTGCCACATTATAAAAGTATGGCTGAATGCCGTTAAGTAGAAAAGTGCTGTGTGCAAATAAGGTGCCAGTGAAGATTATTCAGTAGCATCTAGTAAAATATAGTGATTACATACATATATAATATAAGTGAAGGTTTAAATGCAAATACAAAGTGACAGTGCAAAGTACTGGTAAGCAATTAAAGTGACAAAGTGCTGCAATGATTATATACATACTGTGCACAAGACTATATACAATAAAAACACTAATTAAGTTCACTAATACACACACAAAGGAATTCAATCTGAGAAATGTAAACCAGGGTGCCATAAAACTCCTCGTTATTTTTATGATAATAATAATAATTATTATAATAATCCCCAACTTGTGATTAACATTATCTCAAAATGTATCCTTTTAATAAAACCTTTAAAAATAATATAACAAGCTGGAATAAATTTGATCTGGTTACAAAGACATTATTTCACTACCTATAAGCAGCAACATATATGTAAATCTTTTCTCCAAATAAACTTTGTTTATAGGATCCTCTTAAAGAAATTATTATGTATAACCTAATGTGCACCCTAGTTTATTGAGGCAGACATATTATAGGTTTCTAAGAAATTTTTTTTGGTACTACCCAATTATGGATCTACAACCACTTTTTTAGATAAATATTGCGTGAGGTAAATTGATATTACAAAAAAGAATGGAACGAGATATGTTCATTTAAGCCTTTCGGGAATACCGTGTCCAATTCAAAAATCCAAAATGTCTCTCTGTTTAACAGAAATAGCCTCTATTCCCTCCTCATGTGGGATCACCGTGTATAGACTACACGGTGATCCCACATGAGGAGGGAATAGAGGCTATGCGTCAGGTATTGTTAGCCTCAACGGTGTATAAGGGACCTCCCATCGAATTTGTCTTGGAAATCCTTACTTGCGTCAGGTATTGTTAGCCTCAACTGTGTATAAGGGACCTCCCATCGAATTTGTCATGGAAATCCTTACTTTAGCCTTGGAAAAGAACTATTTTCGCTTTTGAAAATTCGTGGTATTTACAGGTGTCTGGCACATCGATGGGGGCGGCAATGGCCCCCATGTACGCTAATGCATATATGTATATGTACGAAAAACATTATATTTTGACACCGTATAGCCACTTTATCACTATATAGATGGTCTTCTGATCATCTGGAAAGGTACAGCGATGCAGGCACATGAGATGGTGGAGGGTCTTAACCAACTTCCGGTGCCTATAAGACTAACGGCACACATCAGTCCTGAACAAGTTCAATACCTAGATGTAGAGTTAATGGTCGGCAATGGCAGGATAGAGTATAGTCTTTACACCAAGATGACGGATAGAAATACTCTACTGCATGCCAGCAGTGCCCACCCACAATCATTGATAAAATCACTCCCCAAAGCACAATACTTAAGGGTGATGAGGAATAACTCTGATGAGACTACCAAGGAGAGACAATTAGCAGAGATGACACAAAAGTTTCTACAACGAGGACGCTTGGCGTTAGATCAAGCATTGAAAGAAGCTAAGAAACCTGGGATACCTAGAGACCAAACATCAACTCAAAGATTGGTCTTCCCTACCACGTACCACAAATCCACTCAGTCTATTTCCTCTGCGAAAAGAAAGAACTGGAGAATCTTGGCAACGGACGACACCCTTCCCAAAGTATTTTGTGAAAAACCGCTTATTTGTTATAAGAGAAACAAAAATCTAAAAGACTTACTAGTACACACGGATCCTATTTTAAGCTACTCAGACAACACGTTTATTCAAAATCGAGGTTGTGTTCGATGTCTTGGGTGCGTTACATGTGGACACATGACGCCAGCAAAAAGCTTTTTTCACCCACACACGAACAAACAATACCCTATTAAGAGCACCATAACGTGTAAAACTACACACGTTATTTACAAATTAATGTGTCCATGTGGCCTAGTGTATATAGGAAAAACAGAAACGGCGTTATGCGAAAGGATAAGAGGACACCGATCAAGTATTCGATTGGCATACAGGGATGGAGAGTCGGACAAACCAGTTGCCAAACATTTTTTACAGATGGGACACTCATTGGCTACTTTAAAATTTGTGGCAATTGAACATGTTTCAGCATCAAATAGAGTGGGGGATCGAGGAAAATTTCTGTTAAACAGAGAGACATTTTGGATTTTTGAATTGGACACGGTATTCCCGAAAGGCTTAAATGAACATATCTCGTTCCATTCTTTTTTGTAATATCAATTTACCTCACGCAATATTTATCTAAAAAAGTGGTTGTAGATCCATAATTGGGTAGTACCAAAAATTTTTTCTTAGAAACCTATAATATGTCTGCCTCAATAAACTAGGGTGCACATTAGGTTATACATAATAATTTCTTTAAGAGGATCCTATAAACAAAGTTTATTTGGAGAAAAGATTTACATATATGTTGCTGCTTATAGGTAGTGAAATAATGTCTTTGTAACCAGATCAAATTTATTCCAGCTTGTTATATTATTTTTAAAGGTTTTAATAAAAGGATACATTTTGAGATAATGTTAATCACAAGTTGGGGATTATTATAATAATTATTATTATTATCATAAAAATAACGAGGAGTTTTATGGCACCCTGGTTTACATTTCTCAGATTGAATTCCTTTGTGTGTGTATTAGTGAACTTAATTAGTGTTTTTATTGTATATAGTCTTGTGCACAGTATGTATATAATCATTGCAGCACTTTGTCACTTTAATTGCTTACCAGTACTTTGCACTGTCACTTTGTATTTGCATTTAAACCTTCACTTATATTATATATGTATGTAATCACTATATTTTACTAGATGCTACTGAATAATCTTCACTGGCACCTTATTTGCACACAGCACTTTTCTACTTAACGGCATTCAGCCATACTTTTATAATGTGGCACGGCCGTAATGGAGATAATATCACCAACTAATTTGTTCACTGGTTCTAATACACTTTACACAATTAAATATATTGGTTATCACGACCATAGTATTGTTGGTAACTCACGATCTTTCTATCTGTTTGCACTTTATCCCCATAGCGACGGGTGTATATACCCGCGTCGCTATGGTTACGGTTGGGCACGTCGACGCAGGGTGATGACACTATGCGGGGCGGAGCTAAGTCACGCATGCGCACTCGAGGCACAGGGACGCCGGCCAGGCAGTAGGATTCGTTGGGGGTAAGCTGATTCACCTAATAATAGTTTAATTTAATTAAGTATGTTGTATATAAATATGTTGTATGTACCATGTCTGTTTATATGATCCTGAGGAAAGTCCTAATGGAAGGACTGAAACGTTGATCACAGCTTTTACTACTTGATAATAAACTTTGGACTTTTATTCAAAAAACCGTGAGTGCAACCATCCATTTGTATTTTTGTATTTTTTGGGCTATACATGGTTGGCACCCGGTCATAAAGGGAGATATCAGCGTGAGTGCAGGAACTATTTTTCATTTTTATATATATATATATATATATATATATATATAAAGGAGAAACTCTTGGCACTCACCCTTACTATTTCAAAAAATGCAATCTTGCCTGGGTGCAATCCTCAGCGTTTAGCATATAACGAAAATCAGTATATAAGGAGCACTCACAGGTCTTCATCAAAAGTCTGGTTTATTCTTTATTGCGCATGTAATTTGCACTAAAGAATAAACCAGACTTTTGATGAAGACCTGTGAGTGCTCCTTATATACTGATTTTCGTTATATATATATATATACATATATATATAGCAAAAGTTATGAGCTGCACGCACGGTCTGTAATAAAACTTAAATTCTTTAAAATTGGATCAACGTTTCAGTCCTCCTTGCGGACTTTCCTCAGGATCAAACATATGTTTATGCTTGATCCTGAGGAAAGTATGCAAGGAGGACTGAAACGTCAATCCAATTTTAAAGAATCCAATAAAGAATTTAAGTTTTATTACAGACCGTGAGTGCAGCTAATAACTTTTGCCACTTGAATACTCTGGAGCCCTGGCTGGCACCCGACAATTTATAACAATTCCAGCTTGTGTGCAGGGACGAAAATTGTTTCTATATACAGGTGATACTCGAAAAATGTGAATATCGTGCAAAAGTTCATTT